CGTGGGAGGATTGCAATGTATGTTTTGATGACTGAGATACATACTGCAGAGTAGTATTCTTTTGGTGCTATACTACGCAAATATGAAATCTTTAATTGTTTTAAAACTAGCAAAGATCCCAGACAAGACTAATCTTAGAGTTAACCTCTACATAGGTTTTGATACTGAAGGAGATAAAACACATTTGGGTATATTACATTAAGAAACCAGGCCTTGCAAAATCGAGAAATTCAGAACTGAAGGACACCAGAACTGTTTGTGCACATGTACCGTAATGTATTTAGATTTATGTACAGTTATGTGTCTGATTATCAGTAAAGAAACGCTGAAAAGCAAGGAAAGCCCCAAACCCTCCAAAATGACTACTTTTAAGTTTCCTAGTACGTACACTGGGTTTGAACTTCATTTTCACTTGGTATTTTTTCTCTTAGAATTAATTATAGAACACCTTTCACTCCGAACAGGGTTTTTCTGCATAAAATACACTCTGTATGAGAAGCAGTAGATTTTTAAAAAGACTTTTCAAATTTCTAATGACGTTTCACTTGGTCTTCTATAGAAGTATTCACAGGAGCAGTCCTCAGTGTAGAAGTTACTCTAGCTTCATGAAAAAGTTAGAGACCTATAAATAGACAGGTTTTGTTTGAACAGAAGTGGCAAACCAAAACACTCCCAAACATCACAAGTTTGGTTTTGTAGGGTGAAAAGAAGAATGGTTTCCAATGTTTTTCTTTACCTATGAAGTAATTTGTCACCTGAGGTATGAACTCAGTATTGACTCACGTTATTTCTTTTCCCAGAATTCTCCATGCAATTATGGGTGTCATTTTTATCGTGTTGGACACAAACTAATTACAACAGGATTTGGGTATATGAAGAAAAAAACACCACTAATCATAAAATCATGACAATCATTTTTTAAATGAACCAGGCCCTTAATTTTGACCTATTAATATGTACAACTATGATCTCCTGTCATATGATTTAGATACTATTTTAGAGGAACTTGTAAATAAGGAGGAAGGTGCATTTTCAGTAAGAAGCAACATTGTTTGCTTGACATTGTTGAGCTCCTTCAGAACTTTTACATGTGATTTTTTTGGTATACAATTGTTCTCATTTAAATCCCCTTCTTGTCTGCTTAATTGAAATTCACGTGTCATGTTTGACATAAAAGTATTCATAATAATACAATTTCATTATTATGACTTCAGGAAAACTTTTGCATACAGAGTTAACAGTATCTCTGAAAGCAACCACAAAAGAAATTGGCATACCTGTAAAAAGTAAATTTGTGCATCTTTGAGTATGTCTTCTGAGTGATTTATTTTAAGGTAATGTAGAAAACGTGTATTTCATACAAAAAAAAATTGCTTTTGAGTTTTTCTTTTGTATAAGATGTTATTTCAGCACAACTGGAGAAATATTTTTAAACAATTAAACTTTTTTAACAGAAAATCTTGCAGGAGCATACTAATATTGTCATTAACTGATCCTCTAAAATTCTGAGTGATCTTTTACTGATTGTGTTTGCTTTTTATTTAAAGGGAGAGAGATATGCATGGTAATCTGACTTTTAGGAACAACTTGATGGCAAATTTTAACTCCTATGTAATAAACAATTAATTCTCCTCCTAAAAGTGGAGTTACTATCTGTTTTGATACGCAATATTTTTAAAGGTCAGCTTACTTTGCTACTTTAAAAATTATTCCTACAACTACAATGGAATTACTTTCAAGAAATAGTTGTCCTTGGTGCTTCAGTCTGGTCTATTGGCAGAGGTAGCTTTGCAAGCCTCAGAGCTTGGAGATAGGCTTTGCTCTGCTCAATTCATGTATATCTCTCTCTCTGCTCTAGCTCTTGCTCTAGCACTATGTTAAACAAAAGGATGTTTTTCTGCCTTGGATTTGAGACAGTTAAAAGCTAATCCTTATATGCGTTGTATTTTAAAGTGTTTTCATTGATTAATATGAAGACTTGCTTTTCTTCCTGTGCTGTCTCTGCAGTTTATAGGATGCAGTCATGTTATGCTTCTTTTAATTTTAAATGACTGTTTGCTTTGCTTTTCCTTCTTTTTGTGCTACAAACATAGTGGATTTATGGTCTGTGGGGTGCATTATGGGCGAAATGGTTTGCCACAAAATCCTCTTTCCAGGAAGGGACTGTATCCTTGTGCTGCTGCAGCAGGTTGAATTAGTTAGGAAGTGATTAACCTTTTTATTGATGTTGTGTCATGAAAATGCATATTGTACAATTTTTTTTTTATTAAATGAACATGAATTTTTCTTGTGATACACTTAAAAAAAAAAAAAAACCAACTTCATTTATATTCAGGCTGCACCTAGCAGTAGGACATAGTCTCTGCTGGTCCTGTAGTTAGCATACATTCACCTTCACTCATTTTCATTACACACGCTTGTTATAGTCACTTCATGTGTGTATGTGTGTCTAGATATTTTTATTTACTTTATTTTAATAACTATCTTTTATGTTAATATCATTGCATTTTGTTTTCAGTTGACATTTGGTCAGTTGGGTGCATCATGGGAGAAATGATCAAAGGTGGTGTTTTATTTCCTGGTACAGATCGTATCCTTACCTTTGGCCTAGGATGTAGTTGTAAAAGGTCAAAAGATACTGCAGCGATATAGTTCCAGATTAAGGTGGTTCTAATTTTTAAAATACTGGTTTTAAACTGCCTTTTAAAAATACAATTTGCAAGTCCATTATTGTTGTTTCAAGAAGCTGCAAAAATGTCTACAGTTATACCACTTAAAGCAAAACCACAACACAGAATTAACGTGTATGACCGTCTTTAATACTAAGCAAGATGAACAAAATACCACTTGGGCAAACAGGCTTCTTTTTCCTTTTTTTTTTCCTCGCCTTTTTTTTTCTTTTTCGAGTTTAATATGGTGTCTATCCATTGCTTTTGGATGTTGTCACATTTAAGACAGATTTATTTTATTTAGGTGGTGTTTTACTGGTTCACGTGCATTGATTTTTGCTTTGGAGATCATTTTTATGTAATAACTTATTAATCTTGTTTAGTACGTGAGCATGTTAGCAGTTATTCTTTACATTTTATAGGAAATGTTTAGAAAAAATTCCTAACCAGCTTCATTAGTTACATTCTGGAGTTTTATATTTTCGTGTGCAGAAATGATCTTGGAAACAGCTTTCAGAAATATCTGATACTTCTGTCTTTGTGTTGCATGAATGGCCTGGTGGTATCTGTATGGGTCTGCTCCAAGCAAATAGAGCTGAAACCTCTGGATCATCGCTAAAATTAATGGATCTAATGGGAGTTTGGCATCTTAATTTGTTTCGCTAGTAGTTACACTCCAGTTTTTTAGATGCCATCAGAAATCTTTCCTGCTTTTGCCACAGGTTAGCTGTTTAATAATTGGTATAGTTTCATTTAGGGATGAAGATTTTGAGGCACAGCGAGGAAATCCAGGGCATCCTTACTTTCACAGAGCTCTGTCATTGCATGAGCTGCCCCATGCTTAGCTTTATGCAACTGGTTTGCTAGCATGGCTTTTCAATTTAGGCTGAGTGCCATACTATGTAAATACTTTTTTTTTTTTTTTTTTTTTTGGTCAAGGCCTGGATTAAAGCACTGTAGAGCTTAAAAATCCTTATATGAAGGTCTGCTGTTAAGTTTTAAGAAGATAAGAGGGTCTGCTACATCTGACTGAAGGTTTAGGTAGCCCAGTATCCAGTCTTTGATGGTAGCTGGAAAGAAAAAGTTGGGGAGAATATGAATGAGATAAGCATATGTAAAATTTTACCTGAGCTCTCTCCCAGTATCGAACCATCTGCAACTAGGAATCCCTGAGCAAACCGTTGCCTTTTTTTTTTTTTTAATTCAGTAACGTGTATTAAATTCTTCTGCTGTGAACTGGTCAATCTCCCCTTTATCTTGCGTAAACTTTTCAATTAAGATGTTCCTTATGCATCTCTGAAACTCTGTAACTTCTGCATTCAAGTCTCTGACAAAATTGTCATTGACCCGCGTGGGCCAAGGTTTGATCCTTTGTGTGCCCGCTGGTGCTCAGTGTCGCATGTCATTAGTGGGAGGTCGTAACTTGGGGGAGTCTGGGACTGGGCTGGGGTATCAAGATGAGAATGAAGGACAAAGCACCTACATGGGGTCATTCTCAGGAGTGTCTTGGTGATGTGCAGTAGCTTGACTACTGTGAAAACATGTTTGGATCAGGAAGTGAGTTCTTCTCCAGAACCCAAACAATGCCTTTAGTTAATTTGTTTAATACATTTTGTGAGTCTTTTAATTTTCTCCATTTCTCAGAAGTATATCCTTTGCTAGTTAATTGTGATTTTGAGTAAAGTACGTGTTGCCTTGACTACGCTATCATAGGCTTGCTTTTTTTCACTGTTTTCTTTAAGGAGGTAGTCCTAATTAATGATGATGAACTTGATATTTTATTATAATTTTCTGTTTTCTCTCTGTTGGTTATTTCATGTGGTTTTAACAGAACTTTTTGACTGAAAATTAGACAGTGTTTTTCTTAGCTGCATAACCTTAGATATTGATCAATGGAATAAAGTTATAGAGCAGCTAGGAACACCATGCCCTGAATTTATGAAGAAATTACAGCCTACAGTCCGAACTTATGTGGAGAACAGACCTAAATATGCTGGATATAGTTTTGAAAAACTCTTTCCAGATGTCCTTTTCCCAGCTGACTCTGAACACAATAAACTTAAAGGTAAGGTCCTGTCTTCTGCGTGGTGTTATCTTAAAATTTTTAAAACTGTGATATATTGAACAGAAACGTATCTTGGTTCTGTATAAACTATAAAACTGCCCCGCTAAGGATTACAGTATTACTATATTTATATCGTGGGAGTGGATGAACGTGCTGGCGTATGCTTACCTCCACTTTCTCATCTTCTGTGAAACAGCTTCTATTCTGGAGATACCTTTATAAAGAAAAGTAAATATCTATATTCCTCTCAATGATGGATGCCAGTGTGATTTAGAGAAGAGTGGGGGGAGGGTGGAATAGCAGTTGTGTAGGTAGAGCAGATCTTCTTTCTCTAGGGATAAAAATAAAACTTTTATATTCATAATACATAGATATCCTGTAGTTACTGAAATAACTTGCTGGTTCTAAAACTCACCTACTCAGTGGAGTCACAGACTCACCATGTTTTCTGTGACTAATAGTACGTGGTGGGTTTTTTTTTTCCCCATAAACTGTAAGAGAGGGGTAGTGGGTGCTTGTGCACTGCTATTCCAGACAAGGCTGCGCTACCAGCTGAGTTATGTTTCACACAAGGATGTCATGCGCCCCATACAGGCGCACTGTATGCTGAAAATGCATAGTGAAACATGTCCAACCCCTTTCACACCTATGTTAGTCCCCTCATTATTTTTTTTCTGTCAAATGAACCACTTTCCTAAACCACAAATTATGTGAGGGTTGCATAGATACTAAACTGGAATTTGTTTACTCCAGGTCTCCTTTCCCTGTGAGCTTTGAAATACGGTATTATGGGCACTATATATGGCACTAGTCTAAACAGAAAAATCTCACTTTTGCAGCAAGTCAAGCAAGGGATTTGTTATCAAAGATGCTGGTTATAGATGCTTCTAAAAGAATCTCTGTGGATGAAGCCCTGCAGCACCCGTACATCAATGTTTGGTATGATCCGTCAGAAGCAGAAGCTGTAAGTTCTTGTTTTAGGTCTCTGGTTAGGAAGGTACGGTACTAAAGCAAACTTGTGATGCTTGATATAACTGCTTGAAAGATGATTATTGCATGTTCTACACATTTCACCAGAAGCTTAACTGAGCCATAGTAATTGTTATTGACATCGATAGACATGTTTATTAGAAATAGTATTGGGAATGGGTGCAAACTGAAGTACCTGTATCTCTGTATGTGTGTTTGTGTGTAACTGCATGTAATCTCCTGGACCTGTAGTAATACGTCTGAAATCTTTTACATGGGGTTCTAATTTATTGAGCTTCAGTTATGTCAGTGTGGTTTGTTTGCCCTTGATAGGATTCTGAGGTATTTACTTTTGGGCAGAGAAATATTTTCATTAGTTGTAGCAATTGATAGTACTCTTAAACTAGAAAATAAGTGTTTCAGCAAAATCTGAGTACAAGATCTTGAGCTTTCAATTATTAACATTAATGAACAAAGGGATTAATTGCAAATTTTTCTTCAAGTAATTTCAGGACAATGTCAGTTTATGAGAAAAGTGTTATTTTTTTTAAAAGAAAAGTGGTTGGTGATGGCCCACTAAGAATAGAAAAAGGTGCTTGGTGTAAATGATGTAATTAGATTTCTGCTTATCTTATAATAGTTAGAGGCAAAATACAGTAATTAACAGTAGGTGAAAAGGGCTGCTTGGGCTGGAGACCGCTGCACTTAAGAGCTCTTTTACCAGACTCTTCAGTTTCTGTTTTAATTACTACAGTAATGTAAGCAAATCTGTTAATCGGAAGAACTTTAAAACACATAGCAGCATCTAGAAAACAGGCCAAGTCTGAGAGAATATATGACTGTGTAAATACAGTATTTTTAAATCAGGTTCATATTCTAAGTGCTTACTCTTTTGTTTTTCATTTATTCTGGTTTTGTATCCCTTTTGATTGCTTTATCATGAGTTAGTTCTGTTTTTCAGCCTCCACCAAAGATACCAGATAAGCAGTTAGATGAGAGGGAGCACACGATAGAAGAATGGAAAGGTAAGAAGGGCGTTTTAAGTATAATAAGGCTTTTGGGAGTAGGCTGGGCCCCAGTGATTACTGTTATTAAGGATCTTCTGGGCAACCTAACAGTATTTACTTAAACTGCTTGGAATAGCAAGGGAATAGATCAGTGTTTCACCACCTCTTGATTGTTGGGGCACTAAAAATTTTCCCGCGAAGATGCTGAACCTTTGCTGTGACCTTAAGACCTTCTCATTTTAGTCACCTTTTGCAAACCATAAGAGAACGTTTTTAGGGAGAGTAACTCTTCTGGACAAACTGCTCCAGTTGAAAAAGACGAAGGAGTTTGAGCAATGTCAGTCTGAAGTGGAAGCACTAGCCTTCAAGTGCAGAGTGTATTAGCAATAACTGTACTCTTTTAAATCAAGCAGAGGATTTGAAAGAAGAAGCTGTAAGGAGTGTTAGTAATGGGTGAGATAGTGAGGTTACAGCTGGTGAGAGAGACTGATGGTTATCAGCTGTGGAATCCTGAGAAAGTAGCTGGGGTTGAGGTGTGGAATGGATCATAGTACGACATAAGACTCATTCCTCCAAGAGCATGATATTTAGAGTTCAGTACTGGTTTAGTATCTATATTTCTTCGTCACGTATGAGGTGTAAAATGATAAAGTATAAGGGGAACATCTTTGTTACTTGTAAAGCTTGGGCGTCATTTTGAAATTGCTTCTAAAAGGTGTAGTATTATTGCAGAGGTTCTAGCGCTAAGAAAAAATGCATATCCAGATTGCTGTGCAGGCTATAAATGTTTCATTTAAGCAAGAATTTAGTGCATTGAGCAATACACACTTCGTACTGAAAAAGTCTTGGAAGGGATATTAGACCTTTATAAATTTTTTATTCCCACAGGAAAAAAAGCAGGGAAAATTTCATGAATCATTTTTGTCAGTTTCATTGTGTTGGCTGGTAATGGACACAGGTCTGTAAAATCTGGTACTACCACAGTTTTAAGTTGCTTTCTATTAGAACCTGAGTCTTATTTGTAAATACAGAGAGAGAGAGAATTGTGGAAATTCCCTTACCATTTTCTTTCCAAGAAGTTATTTCCCTTTTGAAGCAGATGTGCTGAGGGTATTTCAAGTAATATGGAGTTTGTTTTTGAGACTCCCACAGCCCTTGAAATTCACAGAATCACAGAATGTGAGGGGTTGG